GATTTATTTTGACCTGCAAAACATCTACGAGTGATTTTCCTGCAGTTTACATTGCTAAAACATGACTTATTCAAGTCATAAGGACAACTAAAACACACATGACATAGTGAATTAATCTTTTTCTGCCAAAAGGCAAAGAAGGTTAATAGAAAGTACGTATAATTTTCTCTTGCAGCATAGTTACTAGCAATAGTAGCTCTGTAATACTCCACACTAGGAAACAAAGGTTCTGGGAAGTCCTCCACCAGGCTATTTATTTTTAAACTATTATTCTGTATGCGTGGAAATATAATACCCATTTATACAAAGACTTGAGGAGAATCATGGACTTCACTTCCTCTGCTATTCAGCGCGGCCAGAACCGTCACTTCAAAACCACTTCAAAGGCCCACTGCCTTCTTAAGATGATTTGTTTCACTGTATTTTAATAAAAACATCAACAACAAGGAAAATTCTTGAAGTCTGTTTATCCTTCTTGGTGGTGGTAATACATCAAAAGCGTGATGAACATCGATATCATCTAAAGAGCCGACCCATCAGAGCATAAACACACTCTGAAGCACTGCCACTTCTGTAAAATCACGCCATTAAGTCACTCAATTAATATCAAGTATTCCCTACATCCCAGCAGACAAGGGAAGACATGGAACAGATCTGTCCTTTCAAATTGCTTTGTAAGATTTTATTTTTTTTGCTTTGTTTTTAATAGACACCCAGGATACTTGAATTAGTGCCCCTTCACTAGCTACCTACTGAACAATAGGAAAAAAATCAGCATTTGCAGACCTCTCTCAGCTCAATAGGGTCTCTAATTTGTACAAGCAAAAAACTACCCAAACACAAAGATTCTGATGTTACAGTTGGTATTTTCAAAAAAAAGCCTCAAGCAGGTCCACAAATTCTGCATTTCACAGGGATTTAGAAAGTGTAATTCCCTTAGGCTGCTCTGAAAATTGCAGTGTATTACCAGTTACCGCCAGTCCATGTCAGCAAAATGGTTGCTCTTCATTATAATATTTTAATCCTCGGAAGTGTTAATTGAGGTTAAGCTCAGGTTGTGCCAAGAATGCTAAAAGAAATGCAATAAAATGAAAGCCTCCAGAAAATAACCTGCAATGTAGATAGCAAGCATATGGGATAAAGTGAGTATGGCGATGAGACATCCTTCCCAAGGTGACAAAGGCAATTAGGTGCAGACATACCAAATCCAACTCACCTATATCCATCCTTTCTCCAGAACCTGACCCTACAGCACAGCAGAAATACACGAGATTAACCATGCCCATCTGCGTGCAGCCGTATGAAAACGAAATACAAGATGTAAGGTATCAAAGAATGAAGCTACTGGAGAAATGACTTCTTGTTAGCGTACATCAAAACACGTTAGATGCTGAATCCTAACAAAAACAACAACAAAACCCCACCCCACAGTTGACTCAAGACTATTTTCTGTTTTTTAAAGAAAATTCATCAAGTAGTACAGGTTCTAGCTAGCTATCCAGAAAGCAACTTTATTAAACCAAAGGATCTCCTTGAGCATCCTCAAGGTAAGTATTTTTCAAAACAGAAAGCAGGACATCTTTCTTACTGTGATCATTGATGAAAAAATGGGGAGTTGCACGATTGTCGTTTTTCCAGCAATAAAGGCAAAATGGACTTGTTTGCAAATTCCAAATGTTAGTGTTATTCCAAATGCCATTAGGCATTCTTGAGGAATGGCTGAAAAAAAAGGGAGAGACTGAAGCAAGTTTTAAGTTGTAACACTTCTTATACTTCAATCAATGAGGCATTCCCAAAATCAAGATGTTAAGGTGAGTAAAGTGAGCTGTAAGGCTTAATGCTGGGATTGGTTTATTGCCCAGGGGAGTCGTAGCTTGGGGGGAAACTCCTGGCTCCCAGGCATCTCACTCAGTACAAAGTGAAATACTCCACATTGGATCTCAAACAAACCCAAATGAATTTTCATTTCTCTGCAAACAAATTTCCTGTAAGAATCTTTGGTTTGTGAAAAACTTCACATTTTACCACATTTACTCTTACAGACAAAAAAAAAACCCCAACTAGTTCATCAATGAAGAAAAAAGTTATTGGTTTGAGCTCTTCTACATGGGAATACCCTTAAAATTATTTTTAAGGGGAAAGAAAAAACTAGCTTATCCAAAACACTCATCTCACAAGGAAAGAGTCATCACCCAGAACTCTGCCGAACCCGATACTGAGACTCTGTGCACACAGTTTCTAGCAGCGAACGCTGATGGCAAGCTCAGGTTTTCAGTACGCCTGCACTGCAAATCAACCTCGCTGCCCAAGATGGACACAGAAACGCTCTGCCAATAGGAAAACCTTTGCTGGCATGAAGTAGATGAATATAAAAATATTCAAGAAGGAAAACGATGCTTTAAGAAAAGTTCATCATAGATTACATCTGACTAGAAAAAAAAAAGCATCGCCATAAACAGTTGAGTTTGTGAATGCCAATGATACTAAAACTAAGCGGTGCTGAATATGTCAGTTGAGAAATCAGGATTTCCTACTGATCATTCAAAAATCTTATAATTTTTAAATACTTATATCAAAGGACCATTTTCATCAGCTTAACGACTCCGCTTTATACCATTAACTAGGAAATACGTTTTTAAGTATTTGAAAGTCTGGAGTTACTGTGCATTTAAAGATCATCATACGCTTTAGAATCTAATTTAAATAAAATACTGAAAACTCAATTTGGAGGAAGACAGTTTTATTAACCTCAAGTTTATTCGGTACTTTATTTTTAATAAGGTATCCAAAGCACTGCTGGTTATGGAAGCAGGACTACAGTTTATGTCTGAACAAGCACATCCACACAGTGGAGTATGTTTATTTGTCATCTCATCCCATATGAGTTCTCGCTGAAATGTTTCCCAGTCCTGTGCCAGACTGAGTGGGCTATCGCTGGGGGACACCACCACTGCAGATTTATCCTGGGGGCTGCGATTGATCCCTGTTCTGCTCCACCCATGGTTTTCAGCACACACAGGAATACTCTTCATCCTCCCACTGCTTTCAAACAAAAAATTCTCATCTTTTCCCAGTAAAAGCCATGGTTCTCAAACACCCCAATTAGAGGAAAAAAATAAAAATGAAGACTTGTCAAGGTTCCCTGTAAAGAGATGACCTCGCCACCTTGTTTTTACAACCGCAGGCAGAAACTTGGCTCTTTTAGAGCAAATCCCCCAAAGCACCCGGCACGTCCCTAAAATACAACCAACCATTTTCCTAAGGAACTCCACAAATAAAATGTCACTGTCACTTTGTCACGGGGTTCATCTCACAGCAATCCAGGATAACAGCAGGATAAATAACCTGGATACTACAGTTCGCCATAAACACCGGACTTGGAAAAACTTATTAAAAACCCCTTATTATTAATTATTTCTTAATCAGCAGAGAGGTGGGCCAAACACCAACAGCAGAAACCCTGCAGCACTGTGCAGGAACAGGAGAGGAGGGGGTTGTTCGTCTCCAAGCCAGTGAATTAATGGTGTATTAATGGGTAAAATGTCCCAACTGGAAACTGATGAGAAAAAAAAAATAAAACCAACCTAGCACCCACCACAGCGTGTTTATGTCTTTAGCTATAGAGAGGCACTCAGACAACTGTGCTGCATTCCTCTGAAGCTGGTTATTAACTACCCTTCACATCCCCGGTAAAGAAAGGCTTTCATCAACTGATCTGTGAACTTTAAATGTTGTATCTTTAGTAAGAGTTTTTAGTATTTCATCAATAGCTTGGAAAAAAAACCATTTTGCAAGTCCAGGTTTAATAGTGTGGTAACAAATTGAATGTCAACTTCCGAAAGATTTTAGAAGAGGTATTGAAAAACAAATACTACTTTGCTTTTAGAGAGCATAGAAAGTACGTGTAATCCAATATAAACCAGTACTGGGTTGGTTGTTTTTCCCCTATAAGGAATAGTACATAATATAGAAATCCTGCTTTGTAGAAATTCTTTTGCCCGTCTGGTTTCACCGTTGTGTTAATATTTAGCAATCTAGGTGATTGGAGTATTTTCCTCTGAATAAAAACGATTTCCGAGGCCACTGACTTAATATTAATTACATAATAGCCCCATTAATACTTTTATATTTTACAGCTTTGATATTTCGTCGCCAAAACGAGCTCAACATTTCTTTAAATGCTGGATTTTTCCTTATTGTTACGTTGTCAGGGAAGCAGAGAAGAAGGAGCTCTGTGCCCACAGCAAGGGCAGCTGAGGGCAGGGAAGGAGCAGAGATGCCCCTGCGAAGCAAAGCCAACACTGAACTATTTCAGGTCACTTAGTGGAACTGTTTGGGTAAGGAAGGTGCCATGCTTCAGGGTAGAACCTGACTTCCGAAGCATTTCCCTTAAGTAATCCTGACCAAATCTATTTTCTACATCTTCAAATTTCCACAGATGAGTTATTTCCCCATTTCTTTTAAAAACAACTATGAAGAAACTCTGCAGATACTATCTGTATTTTACACAAACTGAAAATAACTTGAAAAGATTCCAAGTTTGTGATTTTGAAAAAGAAAAAAGTATAACTACATACATGTTGTCTTAGGAATTTCAATTTTAAACTTAAATACAAGTAGAACATTCGTTTTCATAGGTAGTCAATAACATTTCTATGTATAAAAATGTACACAGCAGCTTTAGGTAAAAAAAAAAGGATGAGATAACTTGCTTTCCTTGTTGTTTCCCCTTTTAATTTACAAAAGCATAATGGCAATAAATCTTTTATTTTCTCCTTGCAGTCATTAAGGACTCATTTTCCAAAATAACTTCATCTTCCCATTGTTCAGTGAAGCTGAATACGCTATTTTTGGTCCTGTTTTCCTAATGGCTAGATTTTTGCATTCAATAATAAAGTTAAAAAAAAATTTCCTGAAGTTTTGGTTTCTATTAAAAGAATCATAGAAGGCAAAACCATGTTAAATTACTTTTTAATGACTTCATGTTCTTGTCTTTGTAGGCTTTCCTATCGGACTGGTCAAGACACGGCTAACTGCGACACGTGCAGGAACAGTGCGTGTATTATCTATAGGTAGGTTAAAAAACACCAATATTCCCACTTTCTGCTAAGTGAAAATAACGTTTTATTCCCTAATGCAAGATCAATTCTTAGCCTTAATTTTTGGGTAACAGCTCAGGTGCAAAAGGTGGAAGGATACAGCTCTAAAGCAGAGGTTCCCCTCCCAAAATTCATCAGCTGAGACCCATTTTGGCATGTCCTGTATTATAGTGAAGGAGTAACAGAGGCACTGGGCATGGCATGAAGCCATCGTGAGTCTGATGATGTGTTTCATACTGGCAACTTAACTGTCCTCCTCCATTAGTCTCAAAAAAACCCAACCGAGTGTTTCCATGCATCACAGGCAAGACGAAAACAAATGCATCTCAGAATTAAGAGTATTTCAGGAAATTAGGCAATATAGATGAAAATGTATAAAGATGACTTAATTACAGTGAAGACACAAACTAAAATGAAGGTACAAATGTTGGCTAGGTCTGAAAAGCACAGGATTTCCCCCTTCACCCCTTCATTCTCTACTCAGTCTCTGATTTAGGCAGAAGACCTGGAGCTATTTATACATTACCTCCCAGCTACCTAGAAGTGAAGGAAAGAAGGATGGAAAACTTCATCTTTCCTACTTACCAGCTAACCAGAAAAGGGAACAATGCTGTTCCATGCAGAGGAAGGGACCAATTAATTTATCCATCCTTTAGAGCAATGTTTAGAAGCACATAAATAACCAGAGCCTTCTGTCCCTCCCTTCTTCTGAGCTCACCCCTGTGCAATTTCTTGCTCAGAGCAGCCTAGGAAGGTACAACATCGCACATTTCTATCAGGGGAACTCTTTTTGTTTCACTAGCTAAAAAAAATCCAATTGGAAATTTTTTAATATGTCGATTTCTAGCCAGCAGATTTGAAGTTAAGGAACCTTCCAATTTCTACCTCTTACACTCACTGCAAATGAAATGAGTCCAAAAAACAGCGATTTCAAGTGTTCCCCTACCCACAGGTCTAGCTCTGCAGCATTTGCCACCAGAAGAGCCAGTTGGGCTGAAGCTATTGATGCTGGGCGTTTGCCTAAAACATTTCCAATAGATGTTTTAGCAAAAATCAGCTCAGCTTTTTGACAGATTAGGAGAATATATGCTGCAGGCAAGAAGTCTAAAACCAGAAAACAGTGCAAAGTACTCAGATTAAACCATTCCTTAGCTTTTCCATAATTGACATACATTTTAAAAAAATATTATTCAATTCTGAACACAGTAAAATAAAAAAAATATTTTTTAAAATATTAAAAAATATTCAATCCTTTATTTTCGAACTGCAGTGAAACAGCATCTTAGAGGAATGATTAGCACAGATGAGAAGCCAGAACTGCTGGCTGTAGCCCACTGTTGTACTTCAAGGGGTTTTTAGCAGCTTTTTAATATAAAAAATACTGATATAGGTAGTAAACATTCTAAGAATAGGTTTTTGAGAAAACAAGTTATTTTTCATATGAAATTTGCTTTTTTTTTTCCTAAGATTCCAAATCTATTTTTAGATTATTTTGGTTTCATATTGAAAAGCATACATTCTTCTTAGTATTAAAGAAAAAAGGAAAACTTTTTTTTTTTTTAAATAGGAAACTGATCAAATACACTATTAAAAAAGGCACCAAAAACTTGAACTGCTTTAGCAATCAAGAGGAAAATAAGCACATTTAAATTGGATTCCCCACTTCCCTCAGTTCTACTTATTTCTGCAATGAGAAATACATTCAAGAACTTGCCAGGAACTCCAGCCACAGGAATCACTGGTGCCTTCTTCCATAGCAGGAGAGGAGCCACATTAACGGCATCCCCCCACCGCAGCACCCATCAATCCACTGCTTCCACTCCCAGTTAAAAACCCATTTAGCTGCTCGCTTTCGAGGGGGAAAGGCTTGTGCTGTTACTTCACCAGCCTTCAAAAAATGTGATTAAGTAGGTAAAAATTAACATTTGACGAAATGGTTGCTTATCTGTGTCAAATATTAAATCTGTTCCATTAGCATCAGTATCTCGTACTCCAAGGTCACAAAAGAGTTTCAAAATCATCTTCAAGCTAAAAGACAACTTTACAAACACAAGGCAAACAAACTTTTACACCTATCTTTTACAAACTAATATAGGTTCGCCGGTGAAATCTTTAAAGATAGAAAAATTTTATTAGGGTACATTTTCAGGACAAAGTCAACCTAAATACTGAAATCGAGCAAAATCTTGCTATTAAGAAGAAATTGCATTGATATGCAGGAACTGTACCAATTCTAAAACACCCAAAGCCCACGTGGACTAAAATCTTCACAGCCTGTTTTATTCTGTAATTATCTTTTAGTGGAACTGCCCTTTCCACTCCTGTTTAAATTACTATCCCGTGTGGATTTTAATCCTTGAACAGAAATCTAGATGAGAAAATGAGTTGTCTGTTTAATATTTTGTACATTTATCATGAATTATTTCCATGAAGGAGCATCTTGAAGAATTCGTGCTAGACTTCCCTTTGGTCAAAAAGGTCAGAAGCCCTCCATGGCTTTTACAAGGCTACTTTAGCTTCTGGAAGTAAACTTTTTCCTAGATAAATCACTGGCCAATTTCTGCACAGGAGGAACAAACAAATCAACTCTACAGGATTGTAGTTCTTTGGGGGAAAAATTACTCAAAACTGTATCGACCATTCATTTGGCTTTGACATTTGGAATTCTGCTGGTTGTCAGTATTCAGTTTTGATACTGAAGCTATGCTGAGGTGTAATGCAGCAATTCAACAGAAAATATATTATCAGAACCTATGAAATGTAACTCTCAATACAACAGTGGCAAATGAAACAGGTTAAAATCATGGTGACGGTAGTTAACTAGGTAGCACAGAGCCCGCATGGAAGTAGTTCACTTGGAAAGGTTAGATAGAGGGATAATTACTAAAATTAATAAATGTGGTAATAGTGGAAATAAGACAAGTGGACATAAATCCCTAAGACAGCATCAGTATAGAAAAATCATGATGAGAATAGCAATTTTCATCAGCTTTTTATTGCCTACCCACATTAATTAACTTACATTCTTTCTCATCTCTAGACTGTAAGATGCTTAGTAGTAAAAATGGATCTTAATGGCTTGCTAACGCTGACAATGCTCTGGATCTAGGTATTTGTGATTTTCAGGTTGAAAATTAGAAACTGAACAGATTGCTTTGAAAGTGTATTAAGCTAATTTTCGAGTGATTAGTGCTTATCTGGATCCCCTTCCTCCAAGATGTGCATTGGACTAATGCCATGTCATCCAATTAACCTGACCCAGAAGGAGACAGGATGATGTTCTTTAATTCCTGCTTCACCCAGCCTACTTAAACGCAAAGAGTTAAGCAGCTCTACAAACCCTGCAGGACTTGGGCCTTAACATGACAAAGGAGATAATAAAAAGATAAACAGAAGGGTTGTCAACTGAAATGAGAAGAGCTCAGGTTGAGTAGAAGAAAGGTTTTTCCTCGAGGCAGAAAGCAGAGGGACAGGCTGCCCAGAGCCTGTACAGGCTCCATCCTTGGAGGTTTCAAGAGACAACTCTCAGCAACCTAGTACTGAACCTGAATTATTCTATTTGGGTGATTTCACAAGCAACCAACATATCCATTTACTAGCATCTAACAGTCTTAAAATGATTCATGTTAAGAACATGTGACTGTGTTAGAAAAGAACAAAACCCGTCCATGTTTCTGAGCTCGTTGCTAGATACCTTCCCACAGTCCATATGCTTAAAACCAAATGGTTATGACTCCTCCAACTCTGTTTTCAATCCCTTATACAGCAACAAAATTAGAAAAAGTTCACTCTACTGCCAGCATGCAAAAAATAAAATCATTAACATATATTCTCAAAATCATTTAAAAAAACCATGAAGCCAAAACCAGAAAATCCACCACACCACTCCCTCATCCACAGCGCTAGGATTTACAACATGGGGCACCTCTGAGATGTTCTCCAGGCCTTCAAGAATGGCTGGAGGCTAAACGAACCCTGCAGCCCTGCATGGATCCGTGCTTCTGCTCCAGCAGTGCTCCAGGAGAGAACCCTGCAGCCCTGCATGGATCCATGCTTCTGCTCCAGCAGTGCTCCAGGAGAGAGTCAGGCAGCTCTGGCCCAGGTTGCCCAGAGCAGCTGTGGATGCCCCATCCCTGGAGGGGTTCAAGGCCAGGCTGGATGAGGCTTTGGGCAACCTGGGCTGGTGGGAGGTGTCCAGGCCCATGGCAGGGGGTGCAGGGGGTGGGACTGGATGGGCTTTAAGGTCCCTTCCCACCCAAACCATCCTGTTGTTCTTCACTCCTCTCCCCTGAGGCTGCAGGCACCAAACACACCAGCCTTCACGGATGAGCCTCTATTCAATATATTTTGTTTCTCTTTCTTTCCTGAATACAATTCAAATTCTGCAGAGAAAATAGTTTTGTTCCAAGTTTGTCCTGAGGTACTTGTTATTACAGCATCCGAGTCTTCATTGTCTTCCCAACACAATAACTCCATTTCACAAATACAAAAAGCGAAGGCTGGGGGACACAAAGCCCAAAGCAAAACAAACCGAGAAACCCCCCAGAGGTTTCCGCTGCCTTCAATTCCAAAATTAACAGTCGTGTGTAAAAATAGTTTTCGAGGCTGCATTCAGCTTCCCTGCTGTTACCCTCCAGCTTTTTGCAACACTTTGCTTCGTTCGCCATAAACCCAACTTCCATCGCAAGCCAATGGTACTTCCTAGGGGCAAATCCAAGAAATGGGAAATGAAGGAAAAAATAAATTAAAAAAAATTAAAACCTGAGTTCCCTTTGCATGGGTATCAGTCCCTCGCAGAAACTGAGATGACAGCAAAAGCAGGGTCAGGGTCCTCAGCTCTGGGGCTCAGTCAAGCACAGACTGAAGTAACTCAGAGCTGCAACTGCCAAGAGATTTTTGCTCAGTCCTGGACCAGACCCATCTCACTCTGAAGGAATTTCAGAGATGTAAATTACAACGTCCTCGCCTGTGTTTAATGAGCACATCAAAATAAAATTCTCAAAGGTCTGTGCTTTGATTTTATTTGGCCAAATTTTCACGGGAATGACATCTATGAAAACACCGATACACAGCCAACTGCCGTAAAAACGTAAAGTTTCTGTTGGAAACCTGAGTATGTAGTTGCTTTGGGGAGAAAACACAGAAAACCAGAATATTTTATATATATTGTCAGTCTCTCGAAAAAATGTTATTTTTCATTTAAGGAAAAATGCTTCTGAAGCCAATAATTATCAACTCCATCGTGCAAAATGCTAGAAGAACTCATAGTCCTCGCTAATTAAGGTCATGGAGTTATCATGGGGAGGCTTAAAAAGAGAAAAAAACCCCAAGTTTGAAAGTGAAAAGAGCCACGCAGCGCAGAGATCGTTTCAAGACAAGGTCATTTGGAGAGGAAAGCTATAGATACTTGGGGCACAAAAATAGCACCAAGCAAAACAAGATTGTCAGAGCTGTGACAGGTGACAACATCAAGCTCAGGAATGCAAGAATTGGAACCATCTGCAGCTCTATAACCAAAATCTAAAGAAGTCGTACAAATATGTAGCACTTGCTGAATTTAAAGTTAAAAATCAAAAATAAATTCAGCTAATTTAGAAAGGTAGCTGGAAAATTACAGAATAAGGGGTTGATTTTATTACTGCAGCACAAACAGGTATACGCTAAAACTTAAGATCGCAAGCAAACAAATCGTTTGCCTGAAAGGAACAGTTATATTAAAAAAAATCTACAGAGCAAGGTAAATCGATCTTGATAAACAACAATCAATTCTGCAAAATTTACAGTTAGAAATGCTGAAATAATAACATTTGCATTCATCCTCTCTATATTCTTCAGAAGCAAAATATTTCATTTTGAAAGACAGCCTGAACCGAGCTGCAAAGGGTTTTATGCGGTAGAAAATAATGATAATAATGTGGGTTTTGTCATACGGACTAGAACTAAGACAGTTCTTCTCTTGAGGTTCATCTTTAACAGAAATTGATGATGAAAAAGGTTATTCTGTTCAGCAAGGATTTTTTGGAGAAAAAAAATTATCTTTCATATCAATTCCAAGTAGCTCTTAAGAGAGTTGCCCTGCAAGAACAACATTTTGAAAGAAGTAAAAATGAACTCTGCCAATGCCAGGGCTGAAATGCTTCTGCTTTTTCTCTCCTCCTCTATTAGAAAGTTTATCCAAATGACTGAAATGCCAACACTTTCGCTCAAAATGTGTTTTAACAGTTAAACCAGGCACAAAACTAGGCTCAGAACACAAAAAAAAAGCCCTTACACCTTTCCAGCAGCCCTTCCTAGGGCTTCACCAGAAGTCCTGACAGGCAGACACTTCAGCTCTTCAAAAACCCAAAGCACAAAAATATCCCAAACTTCTCATCTTTGATTCCCTCTCCTGCACCTTAAGAGGAAAATAAAATCCACCTGAATCGTATTAGCTGGTGTTATGTGCTCAGTTAGCAAAGGCTGCAGCCCTGGAGTCCACCAGAATTTCCCACAACTTCTGTTATTCCAGTTTACCTGGAGAATTTCCTCTGAAATGACTTCAGGTAAGGTAGGGAAGAAATAAATCAACCCCAGTGTCTAAATTCCCTTAATCTCACTCTAAGTTCATCCTCTGATACCCAGGTACCATGTTGCAAGGTAACGCAGAAGGCAGGATGGAAAGACTTGGTGCAGAACAAATGTACGAATACAAACCGTGAAGTCTCAGGGTATTTGTAAGCGGCCCAGGTTCAGTTCCAAGCATCAGACAGAATTAACCTTTTACTGAAGGTTGTAACGTGGTTCCGTTGTTTCCTAAGGTCAACTTGAAACAATCCGTAGCTCACTGTTGAAATAAGGGTTGTGATTTCATCTTTGGGATGTTTCTTAATTTCTGGCAGGATTTTGTAGCCGACAGCGTTTAGAATTCAGGAGGTAGATTTTAGAGCTTCAATATATATATTTTTTTTAATGCAAGCTTGCATTTATAGGAGTGTTTCCCTTATTTCTATTAAATTTTAACAAGTAAGTACACACTAGCTACTACTAAAACAGGTTCTTTCCTTTTTACCTACAGATCTGATCAGCTAATTAACATCTACATCATGAGATGGTTCTGTCCCAGCAGTTATTTGAATTTCATCAATTAAGCACTTGTGTTGGTGTCAGACATTGGCCTCATTGAAATCTCTCTATCCATCATTTTTATCATTAGTAACCAGTTGCTTTTTTTTTTTCCTGTTTTTAGCGTGGAACTGGATTTTAAACAGCAAGAAGATAAACTACAGCCAGTTTTGAGAAAACTTCATCCTATTGAGGAAACTCAGGTTGCACCTTTGCCTTATTCTCAGGAGAGCTACTCCTCCACTCCCAAGCAAAAATCCAAAACTGAATCAAAAAAGCATGGAAGATGGAAACTCTGGTTCCTTTAACCCAAGTCCATTACATGGGGAGTTCAAGGCCTTCTTTGAAAAAAATATTTGGAGTTCTATCAATCATCTATAACGGGATCTTGGTAGACTGATCCGCGTTACCGGCCAATGTAATTCTGACCGTTCTGGCAGCGTTCAGTTCTCACCCTATGTACCAAAAAGGCCTTTGTACGTATAGACTCATGTCCAGAAGCAAGGCGTTAGATAATCCCTTGCCAACCTTTATTTGCAGTTCACCAATGTGGGATGTAAAACCTGAGTTGAGATTTGTACAAAGATGGAAAGTAAAACTATTCCCCCCCCCCGACCCAGATCTGAAAGCTTCACATTCTAACCTGTTAAATCGTAGGCTGTCATCCTGTACACAGCTCAGTATCACTGTTGTTTTAAAGCCTTTTGGGGGTTCAGTTTGTTGTCTTTAAACAACAAGGGGGGAAAAAAAAAAGGCAAGCAAGCCTTATGTTTGCAATGGTCTTCAGTTTTACAAATCCATGTTGATCGGGGAGTGCGGTTTTCAGCACATATATCCTGGACAAAGCACAATTTTTCACGTGGTCCAAGACCAAGAATAATCTCGAGGATGTGACTATATGTATATTTGCCTTCATGTGATGTAGACTTCAACCAAGCTCTCACATTTCAACACTGCACCATCCTTTCTAATTTAGCTATGTCCTCATCTCCAGATGAAACAAGTTTGCGGCTCATCTCCAAACGGGTGAGCGGCTAGAAACCTCCCAAAGTCAGGACCAGCCTTTAACCACACCATGCTGACAGGGTCACGGCTACCGGACAATCCTATGTCTTAGATCTCACTTTTATTCTTTTGGTACCCAAAAGGTCTAAATGACACATTCTGGCACAGGAAAAAAAAAAAATTCCACAAACAGAACAATCATCAGCTCTACAGATTGTTGGCGTTTGCCGTAATTTAATACCTTTTTGTAACGCAGTCTTTGGAAAACCTCTACACGATTGCAGAAGGCAGCAGAAAATTTATAGTACGCATTATGCTTTGAAACCTGTTTGGAAGGAGCAGTGATTTTAAATGCTCCTTATTTACTAAGCTGTTCGGATAGGTTTCCCAACATATAAATTCTATCTTAAGCTTTTAATTGTACGAGCTAACCAACACACTTAGGGAAGAGATGTGAATCAATTCCGCCCCTTTTATTTTTTTTTTTTCACATGACACTTAAAATTTTCCTCTAAATTATAAACTGCAACTTTTTCCTTGAAGTATTTGCTACTGTCATTAAACTTGCATCTAGAATGACCACTGGAAGAAAAATTTCTCATGCTAGAAGTGGCCACGGAGTTGAAATCTTGTCTTTTTTTTTTTTACGGATTTAAGATATTCGAGTCCTACAGCGTCATGTGACAAACTGATTTACTAAGAATTGGTTTTGAAATTGCGTACTCTGCAGCATCAGTAAGATACAGATTCTTCAGTCTTTAGGTAGAAGAAATGTCATCATTAGGAGAAGAGTTTGCACATACTAAAAAATTTGAATTAGACTATTTTTCCTCTTAGCTCAGAATCAAATCCATGACTTCAAGAAAACTTGAGGAGAAGAACTTATTTTTTTCCACCAAAGCAAAGAACGAGGAAAGGAAGTTGAAACGGCACCAGAAATGCAGAAGATGTCTGTGTCCACCTCAAAATTAATTTCAGCATTCTTTAATGCAAACAAGTCACCTTTGCAGTAAATCTTCAAGAGGGCTACGAGTTCTTGTACATACGCAAACAACATCCTGAAATACTTTTGGGAAGGCTGAAGGATTCAAAACAGTGATCCTGTGTACCAGGAAGAAAGTGCAATTGTTTCATGTGGAAAAAAAAAAAAAGTGTTTCGTGTCTTTTGTACCGTTTTTAATTGAAAATATGAAGCTGTTTACAAAACAGCCCACCCTACAGGTTTGAGAAACCCAAGTGTTTCCAACCAAGAAAATATATTTTTTTTTCCTAAACAGAATTAAATATCAAATATGGATATAATAAGAAAAGACAGCGTTATTTTAAAATAGCGTTCATAGTTAATGAGCTCATCTGTGCTAACACGCCGAGTGGTTGGGTTTGTGTTTTTTTTTTTTTTTTTTAAGAAAATAAATCAAGCATCTCAATGGCAATCAGTGACAAATCATTAGTGTCACCGGATCAGCAGCTTTTCCCATAAACCTGTTCGAGGCGTCCTTGTGCGCAGGGACTCTGACACAAACCTGAACTGTTTCTACGTGCGGTTACCGGCTCCTGCAGAGACCAGTATTCCGTCATCATTTCAAATGACAGAGGAAAAGTCACTGGTGAACCATAAAAGAGCTAAAAGTGAAAGTTCTCACGGCGTGTTCTGTACATGTCCAGGCTATTTTCTTAACAAGTTGCAAATTTTTAATTTTTTACATTTTTTTAAAAACTGGAAAAGCTAACATCCATATATAGTCTTGCTTCAAATTCCATATCGTGTTCTATCGTACCATCCAATGTAATTTGTAATAAAATGTTTTTGCAAGTGTGTAAAATGTATCATATTGTATTACATCTAGAACCACTCAGGCTCAGGTTAGACACCAAGGAGAGAAAAAAATAAAACTAATTCTTTAGAGCTTTTAGTGACTGACAAAGCTATTTTCACCCTAACGTAGAAGATCTTATAAAATGCAGGTACAAGGTTATAACAAAGAAAACGCGTCTTCACCTTCAGTGTGGCACATACCGTAGCTTTGCTGAATCCACCGCCAGGACCGTGCACTTCCATACACTGATTTGCTATCTGCACTCCTCCCATATCATGCTTTAAAATACTTTTTAGTCAATAAATGCTGCAGTGATTTTCTATTCCTTGCTATTTTCCGAGTCCGTATAATTTCCATTAAGCAACAGTTACGTTCTTTGTTTTAGAACTATTAGGAAACACTACTCCTGTGAGTATCATTTGTTTTCTTCAAGAAAAAAAAAAAAAGACACTGTAAAACTAGTTTAAAAATCAGGATAAACTGAAAAAAAAAAATCATGATTAAAATTGAAAATCCTACCATGGGTACAAAGTGTTTGCTTTTTCTTGCTTGAGATGCAAAACCGTCTATTAATTTCACTCTGTGTTTTAAAGGTTAATCACTTTTTCCAAAATCAAATAGGTTCATTTTTCAATAACACTTTCAAATGAAGCACGCCGTTAGATTATGCCATTCCTGTAGCATCTGTGTAACAGCTCACGTTATTTGTTACTCCTGGAATTTGTTAACTGGATTACCACCACAATTCTCTTCTGGAGGAATGAAACGGATCGCACGGAACGATTTTTAGGATTATTTCAGCATCCATAAAATGCAAGTGCAGGTTATTAAAATAATTGGACTGCTTGAAATTTCCTGTCAGTTTGATGAGGTGAAGGGAGTTTGTTCCAGTAAACACTGGCAGGGCACACTCTATTCGCCGCACCGGTGATATTCCTCATTTTACAATATTAAAAAAAAAAACCCACAAAGCTCAGTATTAATGATGGAACAAAATCATTACCCTCACTCAAACACCACTTCAGCTTTTGTGAAATTGGTTTGCAACATATAATTTCAAATGGTTTTGAAAGATAAGAAATCCTGCAATTCAGTAAAACAAAGTATGATTTTTTACACTGTATGAGTCCAGTGGAGAAAATGAGGCTTTCTCCCCAACGTTTTTGGAACCCATCAACCCAAAACTTTGATAGATTTTAAGGCACAGAAAGACAATTTACATCTAATTTAAACTCCTTAATAAATTTAGTGCCAGAACTCTCTCCCATGACCCTCCGTAACTCATAGTTTTACTGAGATTTCAACTTATATTTCACTGCCTTCCGGAAGGGCATCCTGCCTGGAAGAAGCCAAGAGATGGCGAATCCACCCCAGTCCTTGGCTGATGATTGACTCCAGTGCCCCCGCCCCACATCAGTGCCAGATTCTCTGCTCTGCTTCACACTTCTCGCTCTCCAGGGCTGCCACCAGCTCCTCCTCCTTCCTCTGCCAGGTGCCATCTCCACCCTACAGAGATCCTCCTTCACCGAGGGGCACCTCTACATCTTCTATTAACCCCAAATGCCTTCCACATCTCACACCACAAATCACTTTCTGTACGTTCTGATGATTTCTGAAGCATTTTGTTCCACCACATCCTTGTTTTGAAGTGTAGAGGGGGGAAAAAAGCAACGTGGGAAACACTCCACTCAAATGTAAAAGTCATGAAGTCCTCTCCTGTCCACTGCTTCCTAGTCACTCACCCTGGAGAATCTAAAAAAAGAGTATTTTTTTTCCCGGATCACAGCAGGTGTTCACACTTTGTCCACCACGTACCACTACGTGTTTTTCAGAGCCACTGCTCTTCAGGACAGAGTCTCCTGGGAGTAGAGCCACTTCCTACACTCATTGTTCTTACATCTGAGACATTTTCTTCTGTATCAAAATGGGATTTGATTTATTCCACCATATACAGGAACCAAGAGTGTCTACTTCATGGACAATGATCATGCAAGCTGCACAATCCTGCCAACTGAAGCCTCTTCCAAAAATTGTACATGCAGGGATCCAAAAACCCCATCTGGATGTCCTTTCTGAAATTAAAGAGTTCGGCAACCACCTTGTTTTTCTTGGCTTTGTAAATGAGAAACACACCAGGCTGCTGACCACAAGGAAGTAGGGAGCACTCGTGCTTCATTCTGGACCTACCATCGTGACCAGTCAATTCTGATTTACCAACATGCTGACTCGTATGGAACGCAACATTCTTCAGAAGTTACTAGGTTTAAAGTTATCCTTCAAGACAGAGATCCAAGGAAGCATCCTCAATTTCCTTTTTTTTTTCCCAGCAACATCTTCTTCAGTAGCAAAGATTTTGTGATCTTACAGGTGACTTCTTGCTGCACCGTAAGAAGGACGAGCTCTGGACACATGCCGAAGTAGCCCAAGGGAGCCAAATTCCGTGAGCAGCAATGAACGCCGACCTTGGATTGGCAACTTGGACCCCCAGGAGGCACCTAGTTCCTACCTTCACTACAGTAACGCACACAGAACCCTCTACTCAGCAAACAGATCAAATAAAAAAATCACCAGTAGGACTTCCAGAAGTAGCCAAAAATAATGACTATTAAAATGGTGTCAAGATTTTTTTTTCTTGCGTGTTAACAAGCCATTTGATACGGCAGGCTGGGAGCTAATGCTAATTTCTGAGTATGTAAATTCACTGCTTTCACCGAAACAGCTGGCGTAAGTGGCCAGACTGCGCTCAATCTGAGATAATACTGACATTGGTGGAACCAAGTGGTTGGGTGGTTTTTTTGGGGTTTGTTTTTTTTTGGTTTTTT